TCCTTCTCCCACCGCCATCCTTCTCCCACCGCCATCCTTCTCCCACCGCCCTTCTTCTCCCACTGCCCTTCTTCTCCTACCGCCCTTCTTCTCCGCCACCCGTTGCTTCTCCGCCCGCTATCTCCTCGCTAACTTGCCTATCCGGCGCAACAACAATGCTATTTAGTCTATCTGGTTGGTTTGTACTGTCGTCTGAATACGTTGCTTCTCTACATGTATTTTCAACAAGCTGTTAGATGAGCTTAATAATAGACAAGGTGCCATGTGTGAAGCAACGAGGCCGCCTACGCTCAATCAATTAATTGCTAATTTCTTGTCTTCCGATGCTGCTCAAGCTTGCGTATGCCGCGACTGCGCAGGCAGTTCAAGTGGGCATTGCAGACCTAACATTCTCCTCACGCAGCTTTGATACTCAAGTGCTCACTTGATTCATTGGCGAACTGGCTCAGCAATCATCCATTGCCTCGTCGAGCGGCCAAGCAGCTGTGGCGAATAAGCCTGCACGCGCGGGGGCATGGCTACCCGCGGTCCCTTGCCACAGCTGGCGCGGGCATTGGCGAGATTCCTCGTCCGTGTAGCCCCCGTCATTATCCACCCCGACAAAAGGGCTCTTGGGTTGGCCGTTTCCGACCTCCACCAACATTCTAGACGTCAGTTCAACCTGCAAGGCCAGACCTGACGCAGAGTCTCTTCGGTGATTTAAGAACGCCCCCCATTTCCTCACCACCCTCAAACCCCCTCGACCGCGTCCTCCAAAGTCGCATCGCCGTCACAGTTTGAAGGTATTTACCTCCACTCAATCAAGACAGGATTCATCCGAGCCGAAGCCAACGTCGACGCCACCGAAGCTCCATCCAAGCCTACTGGCGTTAGGTCTGCGCCCAGGAAGCATGCAAGGTTCAAAAATGCTAAACGTTGATCGAACAGGAACTTGGGGTCCGAGACAACGCTGCTAACCCATCACCACCGGGAGTCGATTCTCGAGGCTGAAGACAGCACCATGAGCGCATCCGCGTTGACCGGCAGGACACTCACCCCAGCTCAGAGCGAAGATGACCACGAACAAGTCGCGAAACCCAAGCCATCCGCCGTTGCAGACAACAAACCTGCGAAGACCAAGCCAACACACCGCGCGTTGACCGGCAGGACACTCACCCCAGCTCAGAGCGAAGATGACCACGAACAAGTCGTGAAACCCAAGCCATCCGCCGTTGCAGACAACAAACCTGCGAAGACCAAGCCAACACACGGGAAGGACGGGGACGAAGAAGAGGAGACTTCAACCTCTGTAACACGTCAGCAAGCCGCTTGCCGGGCAAGGAATGATGACGCTGGCAATGCCATAGCCGACACGGCTCCTGTGCCCACGGGGAAGCTCGTGATGCGGACTCGTTGGATGCGCCTTCGCACCGTGAGAGCAGAGCAGGGAAGTTGGAGAAGTAGTACGAGAAGGACCCCTCCAAACCGTACCCACTGTTGAGGGACCGAAAAAGCTCAGGCTAGGCAAGTGCTCCAGCTCCCAATATCCGCCCGCGTCCGCCTGCTGCAGTGCCGTTAACCTGTATCCAGTGGGTTAAACCACCCATTCCTGTTCGTGCCGGATCATCAACCCACCGACTCATGACAAGAGGCCACTTGCGAAGCCGTCGAAGCCCCCAACTTCTCGATTGATTGGGGCCTAGCTGCCGTCGTGCCAGATTATTCGACTTGCTCCAACGCTGTAGAAAACTGCTCTTGATACTGTCACCCGATGCCATAGCCTCGTGAGCTAGAGTCTCCTCGAGCACGTCGTCAAGTCTGGAGTCACTCAAGAATGCTGGTCCTTCTGCTGCGGCCTGTTTGGCGTGAGGCCGTCAACTTGTCTTGTGGGTGTACCTGGAGGAAAGATCACGACATTCCAAACGTCGCCCTCAAATCCAGTCCATCGATCAGCTCCCTTTCCACTCTCCTCCCATCACTTCGCTACCATCCATCGCCACTCGCTTACCCAGAGTGATGTCCACCGCACGTCTCCTCGCCGCCTTGGCCGCGTTGTGCTTGGTCGGTGACCAATGGCCAGATTAAGCATGGTGAGCACGCTTGCGTATCACGGCTGGCGCGGTGCAGCCACCCGGCGCTGGGGTCTATGTCGACTGGTAGCGCCGAACATGATGCACAACAGCATGTCTGGTATCGCGAGCTCGGGCCGATATGGGCTTGATGGTGCAGAGACGCCGACTGACGGGACTTTCTGCGCCTGGAACTGCACTGCAGACAATCATGGCTCTTGTGTATGCTTGGGAACAAGTTGTTGTTTTGGGGTCGACGCGAGGCTGATGTCCACCACCTCAGCTCTCTTCGCAAGTTTGCCGGCATCTGCATCCGTCGTTTGACAGACATCTCCCAGCCAGGACAATTGGCACCCAGCAGCTCTCCTTGGCCTTCTCCAGGTCTCCATCAATGCCAGTACCACTTGGACGCCCGTCAAGCCATTGGCATCAACGAGGTAGTTTCGTGGCTTCGTTGCAGAAGCAATGCAGCGCGTAGTCGCCCCTTCGAGGCTTTGGTGATTAGGGAGGTGTCGCACGACTGCACGTTTGCTTGGAGAACCATCAGCAATCACATCGAGCACAGCCACGGCATCAAACATACTTGGAGTAGCATTCGAGACTCTTTGTTGCCGCTGCTCCAAGACCTCCACGGCGAATTCGCTCACCCATGTGGTGCTCACGCAAAGAGATCCAGCAGATGGTCAATTTCCGTCGTTGCGGGAGAGTTGGAGATACAGACGGCTGCAAGCAGATACGACTGACGCCAGGCTTTGCTTCGATGGAGTGCCGGAGCCAAAACGCTTGGAGAAGGAGGTCATCGACTCCTCTAAATGCTCTCGGGTTCACACAGCCTCATCAGCGCGGTCGTCGGCTTCGTCTGCGGTGGGAGATATCCGCCAATGTCTGGCTCGCAACAGCCAGCGGTCTCAGCGGCATCCATCAGCTCTCCTTGGTCTTTTCTGATCGCTCGCGATTCTACAAGATATTCCCGTCGCTGTGCAGCCAGTTCTTCATGATTGATGGTGTGTCTGGGGTGTTGTAGATGGCTGCGCAGCACTTCCGCCAAGAGCGTACCCAACCCACCGGGCCCATAGGTTAGTGGAGATGAGCACCCCGTACCCTCCATAATTGATAAGACATTTCAATACCTACGTTAGAGCAACCCCGTCGATCCCTCAGCAACGCTCGCATGTCCGCGCCTCCCCGAAGCTGCGTTGAGCGGACTTTGAAACCCCTGCGATTCGCTGTCCCATGCTCATGGCAAGGAGGCCGTAGATCTTCACGACGTTGAGTACCGATATATAATCCAATGTCTCCCGTTCCACTGTACTCGTATAGATCTACGCGCGGGGCGGTCCTTCGTGCTTGCTGTCACCGACTAAACCTCAGCGCCGCTTCTTGGATCTCTGTCGAACTCCTTGCGGACGTCACGACGTCAAATGCCCAACTCAGCGTGCCACGCAAAGTATGCCCGGCCGCAGGTAGGTGTTGCCCCTGCTGTGGAGAGAGCTGTAGGAAGAATGGGGACCACTGTCAGCGAATACGCAACTGCACCGTGCCCAACCATATGTAGACAGTAAAACGATTCAGCCCGTGCAATGACTAGGCACAACGTAGCTCACCTGAAACTTCTACCATTCTTACCCAACGGCTGGTATTGAAATCGGACTGGGACGATGAAGCGCAGCTCGCCGGCGTAAATTTGAATCCAGCTAAAATTTCTGAGCACGGCCAGGCTGCCTGCGTAGATTTGAATCCAGCTAAAATTTCTGATCCCAGCTTTGCTGCCAAGACGCTAAAAATTTAGCGCCACGAAGAAATATATCATCCAACAACCAGCACCCATCTTTTACTCTTCTTCTCTCTTCATGCGAGAGCTGTCCCCGCGCTTGGCGCTGAATGATTCCGAACGGTGCATTCCAACTTCAAACCTACGTGACCCATTGAGCCTTCGTCTGCTGCCGCATGGTGTGTCGCTGCCACCATCGTCGGCCCAGTGAATCTGTGCCCTCACATCTCCTTCACCCTCACGCCTACTCGTCATGGCTCCCACCAGGGCAGCGTTCGTGACCCATGCCACCAAAGCCTGCATCAATGGAGTGCTGTCTCCTGAGCTGCTTGGAAGTGTCGTTGCCCTTCAGCCCTTATGGCATGATGTGATCTTCAACGCCATCACAGCTCTCACTGAGCAAGACAAGCTGAGCTCTGCTTTGTTTCGTGATCTCTTGACGATTGCCCAGACGGAAAGCTATGCTCCCTGGCACAACGTTCTCCATGCTGCCATGACAACCCAGCATCGCCTTGATCCAGTCCAACTCCAAGTCATTCTCCGCATAGTCTCCACCACTACTGCAGATGCAGGAGAGACGCGTGAGGCGATTGAAACTTTCCTCGAGCTCCTCAACAGCGGACAGATCTTCAATGCCGAGATTGCTCTTACAGTCCTGCGTGCCATCGATCCAGAAGCCGCGGAATCAACTTCGGAGGATCAGAGCACTCCTCGCGAGCATTTGGAAGTGCATGAAGAGCAAAGTGAGACTGCGCCGCCTCCCGTCGAAACTGAAGTGAAGGAGCAATCCACACCCGACAAGGTCGAGCATGTAGCGCCGCCCTCCGCTCTGGAGGAGCCAGGTAAGCCTGCAAGTCCAGCTTCTCCTGCACTCTCAACCACCACCCCCGCTCCCGCAGCTCAACCTCATTCCGCGCTTGCAACCGCCGCTGCGGAGAGTACGCCCTCGCTGTTTGGCCCCGCGCCAGTCCTTGCCAATCATGACGATCCTGGCACAGACCTTCCAAATATCTCATACGATCACATCCCAGCTTTCGATGTCGTTGATGTGCCGGCAGGAGACTTGTCTGTTGCCGACGGGACTGGCATGGCCGGATTCTGCGGCATGAATGCCGTCTTCTTCTCCGCTGGATCAATGGATGTGTTCTCTCAAGATGATGCTGGGGAATATACTGCTCTCGTGGAAGGCCTTTGCTCCTTCAAGCATCCAGATCTCGACCCCAAGGAAGACAGGCTTCTCCACGAGCAGATGCCTTACGTGAGTATTGGACGTCTCTCGTTGTATTTCCAAGCTCGCAATGTTGGTGTTGCCGTCATTTCGCCTGGTTCCTCTCCTCAACGCCCTCGCTGCTCTTTCACCGATCCATCCGCAAGTGGATGCACGAACAAGATCTACATCTGGCACAACGGGAGGAAGGGCCTTGCGGCACATTATTGCGCCATCCGCTTCAAAGAGACTGAATCAGCCGGACAGCTGCGACTGCCGAACCGTCTCATCCACAGCAAGCAAGACGGACTCAGCTACTGTTGGGGTCCAGTTAAGGAGAAGTACTCCCGCAAGATCATGAAGCTAAGCAACAATCCAAGCAAGCCATCATCGAGCAATCCGTCAGAGACTGTCCAACAGGTTCAGAAAGGCAAGCCGCAGTCTGATCCTGCTCCTCCGACTCCTGCGCTCCCTCCTCATCTCAGAAAACGTGCAGCTCAGCCGAGTTCTAACAGCGCCGCCTCTCCCAAAGTAAATGGTGATGTGTCGAATGACAGTGCATCAGACACAAAGGTCGATGGCACAGCACCGTCGAATGGCCTCACTCGTACCCCTGCTCCATCTTTCCGGTTCCCGGTAACTCAGCAGCGTGCCGATGCGCGCGACATCACAGACGCCGCCACTCTGCAGAATCTCAACAGCGGCCTGGCCAGATCCTTGGGCATATCAGAGTTGCTCTTCATCCTACTAGAACGCGTCGTGAGCAGGAACGAGCGTCTCAAGCTGATGCGCACGTGCAAGGTGCTTTTCAACCTCATCGGCTCGGCTGTGGGGATGTACTACTTCTCTGGGGTTGAGTTTTGCGGCTTCGCCGAGTTGCAGTACTCATACACGAACCAGAGATTTGAGCTGCTTCGTCGAGCAAAGAACGACTACACGGTCGTCATGATCGAAGGCTTCAGCAGGGCGTCCACAGCAGCCGACAGTCCGTACGTCGAGCTTACGCCGGACCAGCTTGTCGATGCGGTCGTCAAGACTGCAGACTCCAAGGCGAGGGTGCTTGAGTTGTCTCGCGTCAATCACTTGCGTCCGGACCGACTGGTATCCTTGATTCAGCACATGCTACCACTCCGCAAGCTTTACATCTGTGACTGTGCCAGTATCGAGATGAGCGACGTTTTCGCCATATCCGAAACAGAAGAGTTCACTCATTTCCTTGACTTTGCAGCTGAAGGCCGTGCTCTGTCGGAGTCGGAGCCTCAGAAGAAGCTCGAATCGCTCCTCAAACCCCGAAAAGAACCCCTTCGAATTGAATGGAATCCCGCAGGACGTCTCTGGAAAACATGGGCAGGCGACATGAAGTCAGGCAGTCAGTATGTCGACACCGCTGCCTTTGCGGTAGAAGCACTAGTGTCCTTGCAGCGTCTTCCCAACCCCGAAGAGCAGACACTGTTGCTGCAGGAGTACGATCGCTGGTTTGCAGTGAAGACATTAGAAAGGAGCGGACGTACAGAAACTCGCTTCTCAACTGCTGCCCTGCAGTTCGTGTATGCGATGCAAAGAGCCTCGAAGATGGAAAGAATCAAACCCACCTACGAAATGCAAGAGGCGCTGGATCGTCAAAACCACACTCCGGAGGAATGGGGCAGCATGTGGCACATGGATGACCAGAAAGCCGCCGAGACACAGGCATGCATGAATTTCAGCGATTGGTTCACCAAGGTCTCGAATGATGATCGCAGGGTCAAGAATGGAGGTCTCATTGCGAAGGCGACCTACTGTGACCAGCACGAATTTCTACCTGCTGCTCTGTTCCAGAAAACCCAACTAGGCGGCGACGTTGATGTACGAGAGTGCAACCTGTGCAAATTCAACACTGCGCTGAGTGCGTCCCGGAAGAACTTCAGCAAGTCGAGCGGCCAGGTGGAGGAAGAGTTCTTTCAAGCTCTTTGCCCAGATATGTACGACAACGGTCTCGACTTGCGCGACAAGCAAGGCCTCTTCGACAACCTCGCCGAGCCTTGCACACTCGACATCAGCACCCGCCAACCTTCCGTCATCTTCAAGCGTAGTGCCTTTGCTGGAACGTCCGAACTGCATGTCCATCACACATCATCGGCTGATGGTGAGGATGACCTGCATTGTGATGAGCGCGCACTGCGCCTTTTCGCCAAGTTGAAATGCACAGCTGCCGGGAAGCCCTTCGTCGATCTGCCAGAACCATCCAGATTGAAATCCACTGAGCCGAAGAAGGGAGACAAGCACAGCAGCCGGGCTGTGGGAGCACCGCAGTCCAAAGCTGTGGCAGATCTGGCTGAATTTCTGAGGCTAGAGAAGGAGGAAGAGGCCAAAGCTGCCAAAGCTGCCAAAGCTGCCAAAGCTGCCAAAGCTGCCAAAGCTGCCAAAGCTGGAAATGATATGACTGGACCTGCAACAACGTCGAATGATGTCCTGCCTCAAAAGGGTACCCAATCGTCTAAGCACAGCGCCCCGGCCGTGATAGCACAGCAGTCCGAAGCTGTGGCACAGCTGGCTGAATTTCTAAGGCTAGAGAAGGAGGAAGAGGCCAAAGCTGCCAAAGCTCAGAGCGATATGACTAAAGTTGCACCCAAGTCAGACACATCTAGCACCACGAAGCTCGGCCAAGAAAAGTCTCCCATTGATCCAATGATGGCAAAGCTTAATGAGTTTTACAAGAGCGGTGAAGCCGACGCGTACGTTGCCGCCACAATCAAGGCCGAAACGCTCGCACGGAAGAACGCACAACCAGCAACTGTTGCGTACAATTTTGTCGAAACCGGTCACGCAGCCCCATCGGCCAGCAATGGCACCATCCTGGCTCCTAAGACTCCGACTGATCCCAACCACGCCAAGAGCAAACTGAGGCACGTCACAATTCAGCAAATCACACCCGACGACGTGTGCCCATACGCTGCTCTAACAGACCTCAAATCGTGCCCCTGCGACAAATTCAAAGTGTGCCGAGTTGTGAAATGTGATGGATGTGGGGATGTCAAACCCGCGCCTTGCGAAGAATACGCCAAGGGCAAATGTCCAAATGGTGACAACTGCCGCCAAGGATCACACAATGCCTTTTGGCTTGTAGCTGCTGACCATGATCGATGCGTTTCCCATGGCCTCGAGCTTGTGAAGGCCGGTAAATACTCTTGAGGATGGTTGGAGGGAAGGTTCTAATTCCGCTAGCAACGGGATTTCGAGTTGGGTAGGACGGGAACATCAGCAAGTGCGGAGGGCGCGTTGCTTCTTTGTACTGAGAGATACCCCAGATAGTTCTGAAACGGATTGACTCAAAATTCATATTCCAGTGCTCGTAGATGTATATTGTCTTCCTTGTAGGTCAAGGCGTTGAAAGTCATGTAGCGAACCAGCAGACCCTCACCACCAATTGCCATCGTGAGAGCTGGCAGCGTGGCTTAGCGGACCAGCTCGCTGATGTCCAAGTCCGCGTCGAGCACGCAAGGCGATCAAATGAATTTCACCGCCGTACTAGAGGAAAGGACTGGTAATCATGTGAGCATGCTGACTAGCCATTGCCTTTGGAAAGGGGCATGCTTGGGTTCCGATGCGGAGCCGCTGGCATTGTATGGCAATGCCACCCACGCCAGCGGGTGCCGGCATACAGGAACGAAAAGTGCTGGAATGCGGGCATGCAGGCATGCGCAGGCAGGGTTGCGAGTTATCCCGCCTCGGCGCGCGGCGGCTTCTTGGGTTTCGCGGTCAGAGTAGATTCCTCTTTTGGGTTTCGCGGTCGGCATGAAAGGGGAGGCTCGCGAATAATGACAACAGATCGTTGTCGTGGAGGGCATTGCCGCGGAAGGCGGCTGCAGGGAAGCTACGGGCGGTCGGTATTGAAAAGGGACGGGCGGGACGCACAGCGGCAGTACCACCCGGAGCCGCGGATAATACAGCAGACGTAGCCTGCCAGCGACTGCGGAGCAGGCTTGCTCAGCGTAATATGGTCTGAGAGGAGAAGAAGGGCGCTGGAGATGCTTGAGTCCTGTTGTTTGAGATGAGGGAGGCGGCTTTGGTGCAAAGAGCTAGGCGTCGGAAGATTTGTGTGCAGGAGCAGAGGCCCATGTGCTGATTCCTTTTCCTTGTGGCATCGGAAGCGGCGTCTTGCTGATATTCGTGGACGGCAAGAAGAGTATGCGGAGAGATAATGCCACCGAGTGACAGGATAACAATCGCGGCGCTGAATCGACTGAGGCGTAGATCGAGAAAGACGGTGCAGCAGTAGGTTTGTGGCATGAGCAAACCCTAGTTCGACAGCGATGGATATGCCTTTCCGATTCACGGGCTGGCAAGCTGTATTCGACGGCGAGCGCAATGTTAGGCTCACCTTCCTATCAACAACCCAGATGTGAGGCAGTGAGATGAATGTCCACGTAAAAGAGAGACGTCTGCTAGTTGAGCGCATGCCGGAGCGATGTCATCCACCGCGGTCGCGATGCCAGTCACTGTGGGGTTTACGGTCGCGCGGTCAGCAATAGCAGTCAAGGCAGCCGATAATCTGCGAATCCATCTAGCCAACGTCTGCCATTCCGTGATGGGGCGCGAAGAGCAAGCGAGGTGTCAGCTGGCCAGGACGGTGGAAGATGTCCTTGAACAAGAGGGTCGGGCGGTGGTCAGCGAGGAAGGGGGTTGTAATCATTAAGGCGGAGGCAACGCTGGCCCTCGAGGGGCATCCAGCTGGAGAACGCTCCCATCCAGCAACCGGATCCGTCCATCAAATCGCCGATGATGCTTTTGTTAAGTTCATTCGCGGCTAGAGTATCGACAATTTTCATAGACATCAAGGCCCCCGAAATCTGGAAGACTGAATCACAGATCTGGAGGGCGTCGGCCTGGATGAAGTGGAGACGATGGTTATGGTGGAGGCGGTGGCTTCCCAAGAGGCCGCGGACCAAACCAGAGTATGGGGGTGTTGACCTGGAGTGAAGTGTCGGCTCGGATGATGATGATGATGATGATGATGATGATGTGATCAGCGAGGAGAACGGGACAATGCTCCGTCAGGAAGAGGTAGATAGTGCTCATTCCCCCTCCAGCATCTCCACAGAGAGCAAGGTGGAGATTTGCGCGTCTCGCAGCGTCTTCGCTGCGCAATGCGTCGTTCAGCCGCTCATGAGATATGTGAAGGATGAATCTCGGGGGCCATGTGCGCAATCGTTTGTCTTCTCCTTTACGCGTAATGAAAGTACCAGACAAGGATGAAGCACGAGGCAAAGAGTTGGGACGCTTGGAGCGCGGAGGGCTCGCTCAGGCAATCCCAAGGAATCGCAGGGCACCGGGGTGATATGGAGAGGCTGCTGCGCTCGAGTGCCTCTGATCAGTTTCTCATGCCTGAACTTCTGGAGGAGATGTTGAATGCCGACTGCTCCTTGTAGCTCGGCCTTCCTGTCACCATAAGACAGGCTACTCATCAAGCGGCGGTCGGCGTGGGTCTTGATGAGGAAGAGCCACAGGAAATGCAGCCGTAGCTATCGAACCCCATGTGCTCATAATCTCGCGTTCACGATCAAGCTCTTCCTACTACAGCAGCGCCGTCAAGACCGGCTCTTTTGCTTGTGCCCATACTGCCTCCAGTCGTCAGCCAATCATTTGAAGAGTCTAGCAGCATTGGGCAGGGATTGAGGACGAGGTGGTTGGGCGAGCCGGCATCAAGCGCATTGGCGCCACTGTTGCGCGGCTTCTACTATGACGCTGCCCTCGAAACAGCACCAAACCAGACACCACCCCGCTAGGCTGGCGTACCTGACTCTCCTGATTGAAGCATGATCGGCGCGCTTTTCCATGCGTGGTGCTCCACCGTTGCGAGGCTTCCGATCAGACTTGGCCGTCCAGAAAACGGCTAGAGATTGCTGTTTGTTTGTTTGTGACCGATTGTTTCATCCGGCCGTATACCGCGGGAGCCGGGTCGATGAGAGTGTAAATGAGCATTTCTGCACCCTCGTTCGATTTGGTGTCCCACCGCAGCAGTGAATAGCTGTCCCAAGGTGCTGCGATCGACAAGCTGCTGTAGCAGACTATTGTGCTTACTTTGGCACCGTGGCTTGATCAATGTTGACAATTCGCCGTGGAAGCTCGATGTCCAATCCCGAGGGCTTTTTGCTCACACCTTGGCCCACGTTCCTGGCAGATGTTGATGAGCTCGCGGATTAGCTTCGCCGGCCGGGGTCATGGCTGAATCTCGACAATTGCTCGAATGGAGTTCGTCGACCGTGGCCATGGCATCGCTCCAATAGACACTGACTTGCTCACGGATGAGGTTCGCTGCCCGGCTTCGTGATAGACCGCCGCTGTGGCCATGGCAAGTATGGAAAAACAGGTTCGTAAGACAAGTTCTCAGCCGAGGGTTTGTCGGACTTGGCCCGCACTTGTTGAGGCGACGTCTTACCATCAGAGATGTTTCGCATAAAATAGTTGGAATGACATGTAGCTATGCGAGCGCCGGACATTTGGTTGACTTCAGGGTTCTTGGGAGTTGTTATAGCCTTGCAATTAGCATAAGCGAAAAAGGCCAAGGCCACGTGAAAGCCTGGCAATGCAGGCTGTCCTCGGGATGCCGAGCGATCAGAAGAGTAAGTGAAGTCTCGTGGACCAATTCTGGGGGCTTCATCCTCGCCGCACTACGATCTCGACCCATCTCCACGACTACTCCAGTCTCATCGATGTGCCTGCCTAGTCAGCCGCCCATTGCCCTATCAAGCGCGAAATTCTGTGAGAGTGGAAAGCAGGACACGCTGACACGTTTCGAGTGTGCATGAGCCACCCAGAGGATGTAGCCTCGACTGATGCCAACGACGACTCAAAGGCATATGTACCTATAATGCCATTACTAACTTGACACTCGCGGTGTAGTCGCCTAAATCATCGGCTGCTCGAGGAATATTTTGGCATGGGACGCTTGCTAGACGGCAGGGATCGAGGCCTGGAAGAGTACATCTAAGCCGACGCGCGACTATGACCGCAACGCTGGGAGGGCAAGCCAACAGCGATGGTATTCGAGGGGGTCCTGGACGATGTCAGTACAATCTGAAGTCGATCTGGCTTTGCCGTGTCCCAATGTGTTCGAGCAACCTCCTCTTCTTGTTCCTCTGCTTCTCTTTCGACCTCCTTTCGATGACTCTCCCCCATTTCCTCCCAGATGTTCTCTACATCACTTCCCTCTTTGCCTTCTCCTCCTTCCCATTAATATCGTGCTCTTCATCCTCGAAGTGTTGGCAACAAGTTCGCGCCCCAGGGAAGTCACGCCTTTCTGGGCATGTGGGTGCGGAACTTCGAGGTCGTTGATTCAGGTCAATCAAGGGAGGGGACATCGAGCGGACGAGCACATTGCGCTCCTTATGGCCTGCAAAGGAAGTTATGCTCAGCAACACGACAGAAATCTGAAGCGTCTTACCTTGGGGCTGGTACATTGGCGTTGAGCACGGTCGAGCACCGTTACCCTCGTCTGTCTGATCGCCTAGACAGTCTGATCTTGCGACTTTCCTGGTTGCTCGTGCCAGACCTTACATTGAGATCGCTCAGGTTGCCGCGGTCCATCCTGACTCCTGGAGTACTGGTCCCTTGCCACGAGGGCTCTGGCGAGGAGATGCCGTTGCTCTTTCGCAGAGTCCGGTAGCGGGCGCTTTTTTGGGGAGTTGCACTTGCGTATGTCGTCTCCAGCGTGTAGGACTCTGTCATCGGATGGTAGACCCGCGCGCGGGACAGTAGCGGTCTGCATGTGGTCCATTTCAGATTAGTCATCCTGTGCCATCAGCTTGAGCACTCGACTTCATTTCTTGACTTCGTGTGCACCTCGACCTCGCCAACGACCCATCCTCACAGTCTCCCGCTCCGACGCAGCGCAGTCCCCTCTGCTAGCTTTGTTCACAGTTAGAAAACCCCGTAGACGCTCGAGGCGCCGCTCCATGCACAGTCTCAGGCCTACCAGCAACGCGTCATGTCAAATACGAAGTTCATCTCTTATCATTGCGGCGTACCTCACGGACCTCCTGATTCGGCCAGCTTCGGATCCATACGCCTACCAACGGTCGAAATAAGTTCGCAACCGGTCCGATGCTGTATCGATACCTCTACGGCCTTAGTAACGATTACGATGATTCATTCCTACATCAGTTTTGCCACCCCCGCGGCCAGCTCCGTCCCCCCCGAAGCATTGAGTTGTCCAGCACTGTGCAGGTGGAGATTGGAGTACGATGCTGTTGCTGTTGCTGCTGGTGCGAAGATGGACCGGCTCCATACGAGAATGCAGATGCTCCAACTCTGCGAGACTACTAGGAATTCTACATGTGAGCAGTGCCTGAACCACGCGTGACTGCAATTAAGAGAGCTCTAGCTTATTCAAGCTGATAAACTAGCATTGCGCAGATCCCCAAACACCTCGTCGGCCGGGTACTATCAATTCGTGCAACGCCGACTACTGAAGTTTGGCGTAGTAGTCCATGTACTCGTGTGTGCTCTTTCGGGGAACAACACCCTGGCCTCCATCATCATTCGTTCCCCATTCCTCGTCCTCTGACCCAGCGACCCTTCCCTGGATGCTCCGGAACGTGAGACCAAGGAGAGCTTGCATCGTATAAAACGCATCCATCCCGCCGTTGTGTTTGCCCCTTTGCTCCCCACCAAGCGTCTCTTCTATGATTCGTTCAAGTCGACGAGGCTGACTATGGGCCGTACCTCGGGTTGGATCGCGGCGCAAGGCTTCTTCGAGGTCCTGGGTGTCGATGATGTCGATGACTTTGGGACTGGTATCTCATCAGTGAATTGGCAGGGTCGCGTGGCTCTAACGGAATGGACTCACTGTTTGCGAGGGTCGAAGTCGAGTTGTTCGAAGTACTTGAACTCGTTTGTACGGCCATGGGCAACCAAAACCAGCTCCCTGCGGTTCCTGACCGCAGTGCGGACACCATTGCTGGAGAAGGGTCCTTCAAAATGCTCGCGGACGATCTTGCGCATTTCATCAAGCGTGCGCTCTTGTGTCTTGCCTTTGATGAATCCACCAGGGTTGGACTTGCTGAATTTGCCTCGCTTGGTGTAGTCGCCGAGCATGTTGTCTGTGCCGGCGATGAGGTAGTGGTGGCTGTAGGCAAGATTCATCCACCCTATTCCATCGACGCCCGGCTCGACGCCTAGCAGGAGCTCGGTGTCGAGAGACGTGATGCCCATCTCTGTTATGCGCTGGTTTGTTTCGTCGGCTTCGAAATCCACGCTCACGAAGATTACTGGGTGTTCGGGGAGTGATGAGGGAGGGTGCTGCGGGTCTGTTCGAATCTCTGCATAACGATTAGCGACGCGCCATCCTAGCCAGAAGCCGGCCAGCAACAGAACATACCTCCAGCCTCGTTTGGCCTGCGATAGCCAAGGTATCTCTCACATCGTTTCAAACTTCGTGTCATCGCCTTGAAATCTCGTCGAGCCATGGTTCGGTGTATGGGGAGCAAGCATGGTTACTTTGTCAGGTAAGCTGTAAGTGGGATGTTTGCAAGTACAAGTGTATGAACAAGCCAGAACAATAGGTGCCAAGGAGTGAGCTTGCGTGAAGTCAATCAACGATTCACACGTGACCTGGCTACCCACACGTGACCAAGTATCCACCCGCACTCCCCGCGTTGTTTGAAGGGCGATTTTTGCACAAGACTACATGTAATTCGGAAAGAAGATTGACGCGTACACGTGGATTGAGCTTGTGGAACTACTGGTTGCTTATCTCAGGTACTCCAATTCTCCTATCCTTTGAAGCTGGTCACCCGAGAAGAAGCCGCGCTTGAGGCGCTTTACGCATTCTCGCCATCCGCCTTCTTGCCATTCACCTCCTCAATGTCACGAGCACCATCCCCCTCCTTCTCGCCATCCCCCTGCTTCTCGCCATCCCCCTGCTTCTCGCCATCCCCCTGCTTCTCGCCATCGACCTGCTTCTCAGCATCGACCTGCTTCTCAGCATCGACCTGCTTCTCAGCATCGACCTGCTTCTCAGCATCGACCT